TTCACACATAGAATTAATGTTGTGAATTTTGAACCGCAACTTTATCTGCTATTATCTGTAACAGTCTTCCTGAAAATGTGAGACAGGCTTCTACTCGTCTAATTTTAAATCCCAGGTTGAAAAAAGTTCTGTTTAGTCGCAACTGAAGCATTGTCTCTTCGATAAGTATGTTAGCGCATTTTACAGACCATGGTCACCCAAACATACAATTCCATAATCTCTACACACAGAAGCAAGACACAGAACACACTGGCGCACCACCACCACCAATCAACACCATCCATTCACTCACTCATTACATTCAGACCTATGTTTTTAGTGGTAGGGGAAACCGAAGCACCTGGAGAAAACCTACGCAGACATGGGGAGACCATGCAAACTCCACGCCATGCCGCCCAAGTAGTTCCATATCGTGCTACTATGTCTAAAATAAGTATGTATGTATCCGTCTATGGAGCCCTCGATGATGGCTCAATACATGCTTTATATAGGTCTTAAATCAGCGGCTTGGAGAGTTGCCATGTCATCTCGACAGTGATAGACTATTACAGCTGCCAATCAAGCAGCTCTAATGCACACTTGACATACTTTGCTCTAACTGTGTTCAGTCGTATATTTATGGCACACTTTCAGACTGGAATTCAAAAGACAGAAAAGTAGATTTAATGCACTGAGTGGAATGAGAGAGTTTTCATAAGACTACATCACCATATTTTATTTTTATTTTTATATATCTATATTGTCCGTATAGCACAGCTTTTTGAGATTCTAATGTGGTGTAAATCCGGGGTTTCCAATCGTTTTTTCCCCCTCTGTGCCTCCTGTTGAATCATGTAATCCTGGGTCAAACTGATCCAGGGCCAGAGCTGTTTTTAGGCTTTACTGTGACATCAAGGTCTCCATTTTTATCTCTCTGTATCTCTGCATTTTATAAATTAATGCATTTGTTTACATTATTTAGGTTTTTCGTTTAGGTTGAGTTTTAGATTTTTCTGGACAAAATTAGCTCAAGGTTAATTGAACCAAAACAGGAAAACAAAAGTATGAGAATCTTGTTACGAAAAAAGCATCTTAATCTTAATTTCATTAGTTCATTGCACACTGTATGACCAATTATTATTTGTATAAATGATGCGCTGGGACAAATATTGAGAATGGAATTATTGGTGTGGTTGTATTCTTGAGAGACTTTAAAATGATGTATTACATGTCATAGAAGCCCATATACTGTAAATCTCTTACTACTAAAGTTTTAAAAATCATTTCAAGTACCCCCTTTGATACCCTTGCATACGCACCCCCAGTTGGGAAACACTGGTATAAGTCGCTTGTAGTACTTTATCTGAAAAATATTCCATCGATGTACACAAGTTGGCGACAACCCAGCAACACGTCGTTCCATTCATATTTATTACAACTCCTAGTTCCAGAGAGTTAGACCCGCCCCCACAGGTTTCTGATTGGATGCAATGAATTAATATCCTTGATTGACAGCAAAGGCCTCTTGCCATTGATCTAACTATTCTCCTCCAGAAAGTCTTAGCGATGACGCTCTTTCCAATGGGTGGGAATGTTATAAATATGATAATTATGAAAAATACTGCTTCTACAGTGTCACAAGGTCGAACATATGTATTTCTGCAGATACCATCTTCAACAGTGACTCTTCAATTGATTGTTGAGTGGTTGTTTAGCCATGGAAAGAAATAGTCTTGAAAATGCAATAAAAACTGGGGGTATTAGTATCTTTTGCAAAGTAGTTACACAGAGAAAAGGTATGATGTAGCAGTAAATTGGGTAAATTCGTTGGAGTGCTCTCGACAAGGTTAATGGAAGCCACTGTCTCTGGACTGGCCCCACGCTGTATTAAGTGGAAATAGCTGCGCGGCTGTACACTCTCACCACTCCAGCCGTACCAATGGAGCCCTAATAATAAAGAGAATGATCCCCTGTTTTGACAAAGACGCCCGGGGGAGGGACGCTATACCAATTCGCTGTTTGAGATTCCAAGCACTGACAAAACACCCATTTGTGGCCTTTCTATGCACCGCTAAAAATCCCACGGAGACTTCGGATGTGGGTAAAAAACCAACTGCCAATTTGCGAAAGGGGGATGTGCCATGTTTACTAATGCAGGCGAGCGATGGGGACTCAAATTGCGACCACACAGGACAGCGGAGGAGGGCCCTGTGCGTTTCTTGGCATGGATTATAGCAGCTTTAGTTTTTTTGTGTCTCTGTTGCTGTGACTGGAAGGCTAATTATGAAACCTCCGCTGTTATTGCACTACAGTGGCCGTGTCGGAGGGGTGGAGAAACAGAAGGGGCAGCAGCGAGGTTTATGTGGGTTAGGTCCCATTAGACTGTGTGAGAAAGACCTTATTAAGGATGCTTTAATAGGTAGATTTAAAGCTCATTTCACGCCAAAAAAGATCAAATTCAAGAGAGCACTGGGCGGGTTCCCCCGCTATCTTGGACTGTAAATGTTTTAAAAGAACAGACAGAGTTAATAGTGGAGATTTGGGGAGTTGTAATGAGAATGCATTGATCTGGACATATGTTTAGACTAGTCGTTCCTTGTGGATGCAGGAGGGTCTAAGGACAGTGGTGATGATCCAGGGCATTTAGGGACATTCATTACCATTTATGGACAGTGGTCGTCCCGCTCCATATGGACCAATGGCTCCTATGTGTTTGTTATCATTGCATTTCCTGTGATTGAACTGTTTGATTAAATGAAACGACAACTTTGTATAGTCCTCAGAGAAGACTGCTGTTGTGATTGAGGGCTCTACACAAATATTGATAGGTATTACATCTTTACCTATAATGAAACATATCTGCTATCACTCAAACAGATGGATGGTGCTATTTTTTGGTCGTAAATGTTGTTATCATAAAAAAGACAACTACCCAAATGACAGCCCTCTGCCCTCTGATCGGATAATCTTCCTGACATTTGTATGAAGTCCAATGTATTTTTAATTAAGACTAAATCCAAAGTAGTTCCGATAAGGTTGTGTATGTGATCTGTTATCTGGGTACACATATAAAAGATGTAGACATACTTTTAAATCAAAAAGTTACACCCCCTCAAAAAACGAGATGATTCATATCAAGGGGCTTTCCTTAAAAAAACTTAAACTTGTCGCACATAGAGGAAGGGGAAAAACGTTAGTACTCGGTGTGCTGTAAGAGGCAATAGAAATGAATCAAACTCTAAATCCGACTTGGAAACGTGAAAAGGAGAAGCACAAACACTACATATTCTCAGAAACCACTAAATTCAGAGCATCTGCGTTTAAAGTTAGAAACAGTTTTTAATTGTAGGCCATCGCAGACTTCTTAAAGATGTTGGAATGCAGAGTAATTTCAGGGCTATCGTTTTGACTCTGGATGAGACGGAATCCTTAATCCGCTAGAATTAAAGTTAATCCCAAACTCTGAAACGTGATCTTTGCTTGACCTCCCGACAAAGACATTACCTCCGCATCTGTCTGTGTTGTGTCCCTGAAAGTCTAAGTCTGTATGAATCTGCACAATCGATTTTCCACACTGTTCAAACTGCACCTGTTGGCACGTCTTCTGTGTAAAAGTATTAAAGAAAAGTCTAGAAATGTAGTGTTAAACCAGGAGGTAACACAGTAAACTCAACGTATCCAGGATTTAGCTTGTACTACGTCACTATAACACAACTCAACAAAACAATAATTCAGCCGTTTAAGTACAAAGCTGTATCTAACTTCATGTTGTGGCGCGGCAGCCATGTTGTGACTGTAGCAACAGCAACATTCTGATAGAAAAGAATGTAATAAATGGAAAACCAGAAAATCCAATGATCAAAAAGGTTTACATTGTAACTAGGAATCACAATTTAAAGGGGCAGAATGTAACCGTTTATCTGCATCTTTTTAATGTGTCCACAGGTAATTTGTTGATGTCTACAAATCATTCTTGACCTTCAAAAGTTTAAAGTGGATTTATTCTTACTTATAAATACAGTGGGCATGATGTTCATAATATCTTAGGTAAAATATAGCTGATTTTGGCTCTTATCTTGGCTCTTACTTTTCTAGCCGACAAAGCATTGTAATAGTAATTAATTTATTAGACCAATGGTTCTCATTACATACTTCCTCTTGAACGGTTTCTAGGTAACAGTTCACATAAGTAGGACATTTCTCTGTCCAGACCTCAGTTTCATGAGTTCAATGCACAATATTAACTTATCTTATGACTTCAAACCATGTTTTCCTTCAATAAAACGCAAATAGATTTCAGTTCTATTGGAAAACAGTCGACTATAGACAGACTGTAGTTTTTTTGTGACACATGCTATGATGGAACAGAGATAGATTGTGATTAATAACAATAATACATTTAAAAAAAATGTATACAGCACAATAATTTCACAAAATAAACAGCAAAATTAAGCAATATTCAAAAGTAACTTATGAAACTGAATAGAACTAAATTTCCCGGCCAGATACCAAACAAAATGTCGTAAATTATTGAAATAATAATTGATTATTGAACTATTAGTCAATATAGTACTTGTGACAGGCCTAGGTATAGATAAAAAAATTGCAAAGCCAACTTGTGAAAGGTTCAAATGGCATTTATAATAGAAAAAGCTCACCTGACTCACTGCCTAATCAGATCAAATAACAAAACAATTAAGACTAAACTGGGACAAAGTCTACAGACAGGAAACATGCTGCGGAAAAATACATGGAACAATTGCCGATTAGACCAAATGATTAAGAAACTGTGATACTAATTCTTCTGCGGCCCCCATTTGGGGTTCGAGGCCCCCTTATAAAAGCCTGTATTGTCTTGGAAACACAGCTCATTTCCCCGCACAGAGGCATGAATAGCTGTATTAACAATGCGCTCGGCTTACAGAAGCAATTCCCTGTGAATAAAACCTCTTAACATTTTGTCCTCTTCTGGCAATGGACTCCGGGAACAGTCATTTCAAACCATACAGGATCTCACTTACCGCGATATAATAGACCTTGGCTTTCTTCACCAGCTCCCAGTTGCCGTCCAAGTCCAGGTGTTTTTCCTTTTTGTAGCAGTTCGCGGCTGCCAGGTTAGCGACAAGGGACCTGCGTAGACAGACACCATAAATCTTCGCCGCCTCCACTCTTATCATCCATCTTAATTTCGGCTCAAAAACATCCCTAAAAACATTCAGGCCTCGAGACTTCTATATACTCCGTTTCTTTTACCGATGTGGAGGTGTGATAATGGAGTCAGGGAAAGTGCCAAGGTGAAATAAGTCGTCTGGATGGCTATATGAAATCTGTTTGAAACACATCTTTTCAGGAGATTGGAAGAGAGAGGTGTTCAAAGTGAGGACCCAGGCTGGAAATATGGGTTTTTTTTTAAATGGCTCCCAAGAGAATACAATGTTATGGGTGGTAGGAATGTCAATAAACCTGCATTTGTGCAATTGTTGTTGAGGAGATGCAAACATTTGCCTTTTGTATGTAAAAAGATATTGGTGAAAACTTGATCGCTTCAAGAATAGTATATATACATAAACCAATTTGTCCAATTCAAGTGACAACTCTGGAGAAAAAGCCGTGAGCCGTGGGCTGAATGCTGATTGAGTGGGTGGTCCACTCTTTTTCACTTTTCTGTCTGAAAAAGCTGATCTAAAGATAAAGGCCAGAAAATACATGCGTTTGAAAACTAGCGATAAAACCAAGCGAGCATAAACATTTCATACATAGATTGAGATCTCCCAGGATCTCCACAGTAACAGACTCTGGCTTTTATTCTGATTTCGGCAGCTACAATGTGGAATATGCTTCCTGGGAATGTGAGACAGGCTTCTACTGGGAACTGTTTTCAATCTGGATTTGAACATTGTGTACTGTGCATAAAACTGAAGGATTGTATTTGTATTCTTTTAAATGTACTGTGATTATTAATGCCTTGTGTGATTGTTTCTATCTTGTTTTGTCAAGCACTTTGAGTTGCCTTGTGTATGAACTGTGCTGTACAAAATAAGTAGCCTTACCTATTTGACGAGATTGTATTCAAATGTAAATGTCCCGTTAAGTTTATGTCGGTCCAAAACCACTATTAAAATTGCCTGATACAAGATATTGATATTGATAATCAGTTGACTTGATGTGACACTGGGCAGCTACATTGTATCTTCACTGTTTTTAACGTACTGTGATTATTTATGTTTTGAATGCCTTGTGAGATTGTTTCTATTTAGTTAAGCACATGCATTGTGTATGAACTGTGCTGTACAAATAAACTTGCCTTGCCTTATATAGTATTTTATAACTACTTCTTACTTTACTATGCTAAAGTTAGAGATTTTATACTTTCTTCTTTATAATGCTACATTAGAGATTTTATTTTATTTTACTAGCGTTACAGTTCATTTATCGTGTGCTCCGTATCCCTACGGTCTGTAACTGGTGATGCAACACTGAAATTTCCCCACTGTGGGACAAATAAGGGATCTCTCAATCTTAATCTTGATCTTACCCTTCCAAAAATAACAGTTCGCTGCAGAATAGGTTTTCATTAACGTATTTCCTCTCAAAGTAAATGAGGGTCTTGACCTCAAAAACACATCGTTACCGGAATCTGTGTTTTATCAATAGCAGGGCCACAGTTCCAGTAAAGCTCCTCGACTCGTCTTCTCTCTGTCAAGTCTCTAACAGCGGCAGGTGATAGAGCGGCTTCGGATCGATATCTAACACTGCTCCTGTCAATCAGCGGCTGTTTGGCCCCCGCCACTCGGCCTTATGGGATATTTGATGTGCTCTGACACCTGAAAAGGTCAGAAAGCTTCGCCCCAGGAGTGCGGCCTGTAATGTTTCTTACAGGTGTTGAACAGAAGCCGAGGATACGGACAAAAACCAGAAAAGTGAACACCCGCGCTGCCTTCAGGGTCACTGGGAGAGTGGGAAACATTAGATTTGACACGCTGACATGTGGAGGCTGTTAAACGTGCAGTACTTTGTAAATAATGCACCATATTTTATTATTTATAGATGTTTTGGAGCATAAATGTGTGATAGTTTGAGATTTCTACACCAGGATTTGTGCAGGTAATGTCCTTCCTGAAAATGTCAGACAAGATTTTATTTCTAATCCAGATTTAAAACAGATCTATTCAGCTGTGTACAGACAACGAGAGGGCTGACTCTTTTAAAATCAATTATTTTCAATGAATGTTTTTCAATGTTGCATGAGTCCTCACTCACTTATGGAGGACTAAAACTGGCGAAAAAATAAATAAATGTCCCACTTTGTATTACTCTCCGTTTTATACAAAACCATACTAAAGAGACAAAAAGAAAACACGCAAGAAATAAATGCCATTTGCAAAAATGTAATTAATAACAAAAACATGAAAAATACAATCCATATAAAGGGACATGAAGTCCTGCAGCATAAAGAACTTCTACTCTGAGCTCATAAGTATTAAAATTATTGTTTTGTGCTAAAATACAAATTCTCATTATTATTATTATTGTCTTAAAATATGTATAACTTAATTAATTCATGTATAGTTATTTGATATTTTGCTCCCTTTTACGCTGTGATTTGTTACATATTTTTTTCGACCTACTTTCTGTATTGTATGAATTGTGCGACAAACCCGCTGTGCCTTGGTTCTTCATTCAGACCTATTATAAAATTAGCCTATCCCCATGTTTTGAAGATTTTTGTTTCAATACATTTGATTTTACAAAAAATATTACATGTACTTTGATACCAGTGTTTCAAAGCCTGGTCTGGTTAGATCTGTGATGGTGCCGCAGTGAGACGGCTGAGGCTCTAAACTACAAAGAGATGTTGTGTATTCAGGCACTTTGCTAGTCTAGTCTGAGTAAATGATTTGTGGAAGTCGGAAAAAGGCGAGGATTGTCAGCCTTGGTTTTGTCAGTTTGTCCCAGGGCAGCCGTGGTTGCATTTGTAGCTAGCCAAGATTGTTTACAATATGAATGGATAATGCAAAGTGTCTTGGAGTGTCTAAAAAGTACTCCAAATAATCAAAGTTTTTAATTTGTTTTACTTTTGACATTCAAAAGAAATTCAAAAATTCTCAAATCTATTCTGAAGACTTCAATTCCATGCAAGAACAATATTTAATAATGCATTGGTTTTATAGCGCTTAAAAGACACTTCAAATTTCCTTATTCTTCCACTTTATTCACGGTGATGATAAACTACTATTGTAGCCACAGCAGCCCTGGGGCACTCTGACAGAAGCGAGGCAACCAGTATGTGCCATCAGCCCCTCCGACCACCACCAACCATTCACACACACACCAGACTCATTCTAGGCAATGTGGGTGAAGTGCCTAATGACATTTTGGCACTTTAGAACCGCAGCCGCCCCACTGTGGCACCTGGTGTTCCCAAAGGTCTTTCTTCACTGTACTAACCAGGCCCTGCCCCGCTTAGCTTCAGAGGTCTGTCGGGATCTGGCTTTCACATGCAGGTATGGCCACAAATATAATATAAAAATCAATTCGAGTTATACATTTAGTTAGAATTTTGGCTTGAATCTCAAAAAATAACAATCTTTTGCTAAAAAAAAATTCCCACAGAATCCTCTGTATCCTGCATCCAAAGTGTTTTACCGGGCGCACTTTTGAGACGAGTGTAACGTGGGAAAGGAAAAGTACCTGTTGTCGCCGGTGATGCAGGCGGCGCAGGTCCCTGTGGGCTCCTGGCTCTGCTCGTAGTAGTGTGCGTCCACGTGAGCCTCCTCCGCCTTCTGCTTCAGGATCTGCCCGAACTGATCCACCCCGATGCAGCCGAAGAACGTGGCCACTTTGTGAGGGTTCTGGATCATCCACTGCAACACAACACAACAAACCGTTACTGTCAGAGAGGCTTTGATCATAAAAAAAAACAATACCTTTTTAATAGTTTGGCACCGTTCTGGGGACTCAAGCTGGACAAATGTAAAATCTTGCTTGACCAAATAAAATACACTAAGATAAGTACGTAAGTAATCTTTATTTATTCATTTATCTTAGTGTAATATATAAGGAAGAAGGTTCTGGGTTTGCATGTTCTCCCAGTGTCTGTAAAGGTTTGCTCTGGGCGCTCTGGTTTGCCCTACCACTATAAATATGTGAAATAGTGCAGAGTGTGTGTGTGTGTTTGTAAGTGAGACTAACCCTAACCCTAGTAAACAATAAATAGAATAAATTATGCTCCTTGTAAATTGAACACTCTGCTTGTGATGACATCAAGCCCATTCATTCAAAAGTAAATCAAAAACTCGCTTGTTTGGACGTTCTTTTCTCTAGACGTCTCAATTAATACTTAAAAAACATACTGTATATGATAGCAATTACTGTTCCCAAGTTTGATTGCAAGGGGAAAATTCCGAGAGGCCTTTGAAAGCATCACAAGGTTCCATTTGATTAGCGGTGTGTGTATGTAGACTCAGACCAGACTGGTCAGACCGATTTGAGAGCAACTCGGAAAATAGTCTGTATTCTTATGCTTTGGAAAACATACTCCACAAATGTCATGCCATGATTTCTTGTATAAAATGTGCAACAAATAAATGAATTAATTCAAGGATAATGTGATGCAGAGTGTGTTGTTTATGGGCTAAACTCCACATGCCCGGTATTGGAGACATCTTTGTGTAGGCTGAGTGTATGGGCCGGTTCAGCTCGGGCAGATGGTTCTCACACTGTCTGAACATACTGCTGCTCATAAACCAGACTTCTGATTCTGCAAACGGCATCAGCACATTTCTACTGCACGTCTTCAAACACAACTTCTGAGTTCAAAGTCGAGAAAAACTACAAAAGGTTTGAGCACTTTACACATCCACATTGTACAGTGTGTAAATCTGACCATAGCGGACAAGTACAGAAGAAAGCATGAAATTCCCCTCATGTCACAGAGACTAGAAAAGGATACTTTAAAGCTGCTTGGTTAAAGAAAGATTATGAATCCAAATGGTTTTAAATAACTGAAATAATTGTGTCAAGCTTTTTTCAAAACAATGAAAAACACTAACCAAATACATTTAAAATATATATTTTTTTAAAACATGGCAAAATATATGAAATTAATTAAATAATAAATTGTTGAGATTAGCCCTAATTAAATATCAATACGTACAGATATTTAAATGCAAATATTGACATAAACATTATTTCCTTTATTTGATCTATTGGTCGTCTCCTGGGCTTTAAATCAACAATTACAACATAATACCAAATTGATAAATAACGATAAAGACAGATGGGGTATCTAACTTTGGGCAGCACTGTGGCTGAGTGGATAGCACTCTCGCCTCTCAGCAAGAAGATCCTGAGCTCAAATCCCGGTCGGACCAGTCCTGGTCTGAGTGGAGTTTGCATGTTCTCCCCGTGTCTGCGTAGGTTTCCTCCGGGTGCTCCGGTTTCCCCCACCACTAAAAACATGTACAATAGGTCTGGCATTCGTCCCCTGTACTGGCGACCCCGCTCCCACCTCTGTGTTGAGTGAGAGGACAAGTGCCCAAAAAATAACAATTGTAAACTGCTTTGTGACTCTGGTCTGTGAAAGGCGGTATATAAATAAAGATTACTTACTTTGTTGTGTCAGAAAATTAAAGTAGTTTGTCCCAACAGAAAGTCTTGCAAATTAAAAACAAAGCACAACCTGCAGTCGTCATTTTACTGTGAACGTTTGCATACTTCTACGAAAGAGCCCCGTGAGCCCTTCCAGAGAGGAACTAGTTAGACGAAGTGTACTATTTTTTTTTGTTAGAAAGTTAGGTATTTTGAATGAGTCTTTTTCACCTTGACTTCCATTATATATATAATATGTGGCTCCAGTCTACATGCAGCACTTTTAACTTTGTTTTTGTGAACAACTTTGGCCTGTTCTGGAAGCGTCACGTGGCCTATCGTCCAGACGGTCTGCACCCGAACAGATACGGTACCAGTTTATTGATGGACTTTTTACGCCATGTTGTTCAGTGCTCCCCGAGGGGGGCGTGACTGTTTACATCCGAGGCCTCTCGGCCCCCACTACCACCTTCCTCCTCCACTCCAGCACCGGGTGAGTACTGTGGTGCAAACACTGACCCCTGTCCGTCTGGCAGTGTAATACCAGTCCTGCCACTGAACGGTGCTTACTCAGCCATGCATCTGGAACTTAACAAAGTAAAACAGAGTTCACTTTTTAAACCAATAGAGACTGTGTGTGTTCCTCGCACCGGCTCAGAAATGTGTTTTAATTTGAATAAACACAAATATAACAGAAGGACAGCAGTTAGACGGTCCAACTCAGGAAATCTAATTCCAATTCTTTGTAGTCAATCAACTAAACCCACTGACACTGACATTATTTTTAACCTTGCTCTGCTTAATGTCAGATCACTATGCAATAAATCCTTTTTAATTAATAATTTTATCTGTTCTTATGATCTTGACTTTATGTTTATGACTGAAACTTGGCTTGACCATAATACAGAAAATGCAGTTTTAATAGAAACAACACCACCAAATTTCAAATTTGAATCAGAAATTCGAGAAAATAAAAGAGGAGGAGGCACAGCAGCAGTTTTTAAAGATTGTATTGTCTCCCATAGAGTACCTCTTGGGAAATTTTCCTCATTTGAGTATGTCTCTTTTAAAATAGAACAAAAACAATCTTCTATTCTTATTATTGTTGTGTACAAGCCGCCACAGTCATGTCATAGTTTCACTGATCATTTCACCGAGTTGCTTTCAGTTGTGTGCACAGACTTTGATAGTTTAGTCGTCATAGGTGATTTTAATATACATGTAGATAACGTTAATGATAGATACGCGAAAGAGCTGAGCTCTGTGCTGGAAACCTTTGGTCTCACTCAGCATGTGAGTGGCCCCACCCATAGCAGAGGACACACTCTCGATCTGCTAATTACTAAAGGGGTTAATATCTCAAATGTAAATGTGGCCAATGTTGCTCTGTCAGATCATTTCTGTGTATTTTTTGATATGTGTCTCAATAGTAAAGCACGAGCTGAATCCTCAATTGTTAGAAGAAGAAGACACATAAACAAAAATACAGGTGAACTTTTCATGGGGATGATAAACTTTGATAACACGTTGTGTTCTACTGTGGATGAATTACTTAACTCTGTCACCTCTAGTGTTTTGGATGTTCTGGACACGATTGCTCCTGTAAAGGTCAAAATTGTTACAAATAAGCAAAAGGCGCCATGGACAAAAGCAGACTCTGTCAGGGCACAGAAGAGAGAGTGCCGGAGAGCCGAGCGGAAGTGGCGAAAGTCAAATCTCCAAGTTGACCATGAGATCTTCAAGGATGCATTGTGCAAGTTCAACAGTGTGCTACGTAGAACGAGGGAAACTTATTTTTCCGAAACAATCGAAGGTTGTAGTGGCAATCTACGCGTTCTGTTCTCAACGGTAAATAAATTGACAAATCCCCCTGTTAAGATGCCATCAGAGCTTACCTCCAAAACCAAATGTAATGAGTTTGCAGAGTTTTTTAATGACAAAGTCCAAGGCATCAAAAATGCCATCACCTCCACAGTAGAAATTACAATCCAACAGCCAGTGAAGCTTTTTGGGCTGACACACTTTACACCAGTACAAAATGAAACTGTCCAAATGATAATTACAAGTCTGAGTTCTTCTACATGTAGCCTGGATGTATTACCTCCTAGATTTCTTAAATCTGTTCTGAGCAGTCTTTTACCTTCACTCACGCATATAGTAAATATGTCTCTTGAATCTGGAACATTCCCAATGGCCCTGAAAACGGCAGTCATCAGACCCCTCCTAAAAAAGAGGAGTCTGGATGCCTTGGCACTTAAAAGTTATCGGCCCATTTCAAATCTGCCTTTCATGGGTAAAATTCTAGAAAAAGTTGTCTATCAACAACTTACAGAATTTTTAATAATCAATCACTCTTTTGATATGTTCCAGTCTGGTTTTAGACCCCACCACAGCACAGAGACCGCTCTAGTGAAGGTAACAAATGACATCAGACTTAACACTGACGCAGGAAAAGTCTCAGTTCTTATCCTGTTAGATTTGAGTGCTGCTTTCGACACTGTCGATCATGGTATCCTCATTCAGAGACTTGAGGACTGGGTTGGTGTTTCTGGAACAGCCCTAAGCTGGTTTATATCCTACCTACAGGACAGAAAGTATTTTGTGGAGATCGAAAACTGTGTCTCAGACCATCTGGCCCTGACCTGCGGAGTGCCACAGGGCTCAATCCTGGGGCCTCTCCTGTTTAATATTTACATGCTGCCTCTGGGTAGGTTAATACACAGTAATAACGTGTCCTATCACAATTACGCTGACGATACTCAGGTCTATGTGTCCCTGACAGCAGGAGAACATGGACCAGTGGACTCGCTCCTTCACTGTATCCAACAGATCAGTGATTGGATGCAAAATAACTTTCTCCAGCTAAACACAGAAAAAACTGAAATTATTGTTTTCGGACCTCAGAAACAAAGAGAGAGCGTTATCTGCCACCTCCAGTCTCTCTCCCTGAAACCCTCAACTCAGGTCAGAAATCTAGGAGTAATAATGGACTCAGACTTGAATTTCAATAGCCACATATCATCTGTGACATCATCAGCTTACTTCCACCTAAGAAACATTGCTAAAATTAAAAACATTGTGTCTAAAGCAGACTTGGAGATTCTTATCCACGCATTTGTCTCCAGTCGATTGGACTACTGCAATGGCTTGTTCACAGGTCTCTCTAAACAAGCGGTAAAACAGCTGCAGTACATCCAAAATGCTGCAGCTCGAGTCCTGACTAGAACCAGGAAGTACGACCACATTAGTCCGGTCCTCAGGTCTCTGCACTGGC